TATAAATAATTGTTGGCATATTCAAAATTGCCAAACCCTTTTGTTTCTACTTTTGGTATATGAGCAAGTTGCATGATGTTGTTGCAGGTTCTGTTTGACACCATTTCGGGAAACCTGCCAACTGCAGAGTTGACCGAGTTACAGCTTTTGGATGCATCTTGTGTGTTCTACACTCAATGGAATAGGACAAATGAATATGCATTGGACAGAGGACGTGCAGGAGAAGCTGCATGTATTGTCCTCTCATACTGGATGGCATTAAATGACCTTGAACACACTGCCCAAAAAGTTGTCACAGTCAACTTTTGTCTTTTGTGTAATGTGTATATATTTGATATGGATGTTTGTTTGTATTCGTGGGTGAGCAACCAGAACTTAGAGAAGTATTCTCTCCACCTGTTAGAGTGTTGAGAGAGCTCATCCATGGAGGATTGAAGACGAGAAGAAGGATTCTTGGAGTCGAAGCCGAAGAAGATATTCATCCGGTAAACAACCTTATTCTTAGCTTGGTCGCTGGCCTGCTGGAGTTGTTGCGGTAGAGTAACAGCCAGTCCATGAGAGTTTGTAAAACTAAATGGAGCTTGGGTAGAAGATAGGTTGGGTAGTTCGGTTTGGTGTCTTATATGGTGTAAACCAAGTGTTTGGTTTAGTTAAGACTCCTGGATTGGAATCCCCCAGACGTAGGTTGGAAAACCGAACTGGGTAAACAAACTTGGTGTGTTGTTTTTCTTTTTGCACATATTCAGCCATCGATTCGTGCATGAACACACACCTCTGTTATAACCGCGAGACAACTACGTTGTAAAGCTGTGTTTACGTCGAACGTTTCACAGTTCCGCTGTGCAAGGTACTCGGAGGCGTTGGACCTCTTTCGCGCCCCTCTTCGTGACTTCCAACATCTGGTATCAGAGCAGCGTGCTCAATACCCCGAGTAGATCTGTCCGTGGTTCAAGATGAGTCGTGAAGTAATCTCGTCTATTCGTCCACCTGTGTTCGATGGGAACAACTACACCTACTGGAAAAATAGGATGGAGGCATATCTGTTAACTCTTGGTGATGAAACTTGGGAAGCTGTAGAGCTTGGATGGACTCCTCCAACCAAAGTTGTGCCTGGAGAAACTCAGAACGACCCCCCAACTATCATTCTAAAGTCAAAAAATGAGTGGACACCTGAAGAAAAAATTGCTGCTGGTGGAAATGCCAAAGCCGTAAATGCCATATTTGCTTCTGTCGATGAAGTTCAGTTTCGTGTCATCTCAAACTGCAAGAAAGCAAAAGATGCATGGAGAGCCTTGGAAAATGCATTCGAAGGGACTGCTGAAGTTAAAGAAACAAAACTCCAAAGGGTAGAAAGTATGTTCGAAGCCCTGAAAATGACTGATGATGAAACGATGTCTGAGTTCTACACTCGATTCAAAGATGTGGTAAATCAAGCATATGCTCTTGGCTTAGTATATGATGAACAAAGGCTGGTTCGAAAGATGCTGAGAAGTGTGAACAAAAAGTTCAAAATCGAAGTCTCTACTCTTGAGGATAAGAAGAAAACCAAGAACATGAATCTTGAAACATTGAATGGTATTTTCATGAATTGGGAGATGAATCATATTGAAGAAGAAAGTTCAAAAGGGATTGCTCTTACTGCCGAACATCTGGAGCTTGTCGGATCTGATGAAGAAATGGCTCTTCTGTCCAAGAAGTTGTCTCGAATGATAAGTGAAAAACGTGCTCGAAAATACCACAATTCTGGAAACAGAGGTCACTATGGTGGTAAAACAACTGGAGAACAACGAAAGTATCCAGAACACAAAAGTGTTGGTTACAACAAAGAAAAGGGAGCTTATGATAAAAGCTACAAGAAGAAGTTCAACACTGCTTCTAGGCCAGAAAACTCAAGTGATCCGAAATGCTTTGCATGTGACGGAGTTGGTCATGTGAAAGTGGAATGTGCTACATTCAAGAAGAAAGGTAAGCATGCATTTCAAGCTACCTGGAGTGATGAAGAAGGCAGTCAAGAATCTGAAGATGAAAGTGATAATGAAAGCGTTGTTGCTTTTGTTGCCAAAGAAGGAGAATCTAGCAAAGGAAAAGAAAGTGTTCCTGAAGAAGAATGTAACAGCAACGACACAATCGAGATGGATATCTATGAGCTAATGGAAGCTTATGAGGAAGTTGTAGCTGAACAGAAAATTTGTGTTAAGAGAAACAAGGATTTGATCAACACAGTTTACCGTTTGGAAGCTCGAGTTGAAAAAGCTGAGGAAGTGAATCAAGAAATGTTCGAAATCAATGAAGGACTTCAGAAGGACGTCAAGCAGTTGAAAATGAAGTGTGATGATCTGAGAGAAGAAAATGATAGACTCAGAAAAGGAAAAGACAAACTCGATGAAGTTTTATTGATTGGAAAGCCATTTGGAGATCATCGTGTGATTGGTTATCAAGAATCCATGAAGGTGAATCCAACTACCTTTGTGAAAGGAGGTTTACTTACTGATGTGAAGATTCCAGAGAAACCTGCAAAAGGGAAGAACACTGAAGGTCCCAAAGAAAACAAAAAGGAGAGACAAAATCAAAATCGCAGAAGGAACAGACGTGTCAACGCGTCGTTACAACAGAAGAGTAACTGCAAGTACTGTTTCCGATTTGGTCATGCTGAATCTCACTGTTTCAAGCTGGCTAGGGATTTGATGTCTGGAAAAAAGGTTAATTGGCCCTCAGATGAGCTGAAACAAAGGGTGAATTTCAGAATGGAATGGAGACCTAAGAAGAATCAATCTAAGATGATGTGCAATGTCATCCTATCTAGTCAAGAAGCAACAAATTCATCCCGATGGTATTTCGACAGTGGATGTTCACGCCATATGACGAATCAGAAGCATCTATTGAAGAACTATGTAGCTGACACTTGTGGAGAAGTGATATTTGGAGATGGAGCCAAAGGAAAAATTGTGGGCTATGGTTCTCTCGAAGCCAAAGGTATACCAAAGTTGACGAAGGTATATTTTGTTGAAGGCTTGAGTACTAATCTCATTAGTATCAGTCAGTTATGTGATGATGAGCTGTTAGTAAAGTTCACTAAGGATGCTTGTGAGGTTTTCAACAACAAGAAAGAGTGCGTGATGACTGGAAAAAGGTCAAGGAACAACTGCTACTTACTTGACAAACCAGTGGATGTTGCATTGATCTCAAAAGATGATGAAGCCCTTCTATGGCATACAAGACTTGGCCATGTCAACCAACAGAGCTTGATGAAGTTGAGCAAGCAAGGAATTATCAGAGGACTTCCAAAGTTTTCGAAGTTACCTAACTTCGTTTGTGGTGATTGTGCTCGAGGAAAGCAGAAACGTGTCTCTCATCCGCAGTCGGAACATCAAAGCAGCAAAACTTGTCTTGATTTGCTGCACATGGATTTGATGGGTCCAGTGGATACACCCAGTCTTGGAGGTAAAAAATACATACTTGTTTGCATTGATGATTTCTCGAGATATACATGGGTTGATTTTATGAAAGAGAAATGAGATACTTTTGATATCTTTGAAAAATTGTGCAAAAGACTGATGAATGAAAAGAGATCAAAGGTTAATCGAATTCGTACCCATCATGGTAAGGAGTTTGAGAATCAAAAGTTTGATGGTTTTTGTTCTGATCTTGGAGTACTGCATGAGTATTCAGCCCCGAAGACCCCACAACAAAATGGAGTAGTCGAAAGGAAGAATCGAACACTTCAAGAAATGGCTCAATCAATGATGCAAGCCAAAGGTGTTGCAAAGTACTTATGGGCTGAGGCGATCAACACTGCATGTTATGTGATCAACAGAGTATATTTGAGACCCCACACTGAGATCACACCGTACGAGCTATGGAAAGGAAGAAAGCCGAATGTGTCATACTTTCACACATTTGGATGTCGATGCTATATTTTGAAGGATAGGAGTCATCTTCAAAAATTTGATGCAAGATCAGATGAAGGAATATTCATTGGTTATTCTCATAACAGCAAAGCTTATCGCGTTTATAACAAGAGGATGAAGAAAGTTATGGAATCGATGAATGTAACTTTCGATGATTCTCGTGTGGAAAGGAGATCAATCAATCAACATGATGATGAAGACTTGATACCTCTTCCTACTATTCAGAATCAGAATGTCTTACCTGAGGTTCAGAATCCTCTACCCCAGATTCCAGAAACAACTCGTGATGAGAGTTCAATGTTGTTCGATTGGAGTGAAGCAGATGAATCTACTGAAGTTACCACTGCTGCAGAACAACCTGGAGAATGTCAATCTGAAGCTGAAGTAAGGAGATATGGTTCAAGAATTTCTAAGAACCACCCTATTGATGCTGTCATTGGAGATCCACAAGAAGGTCGTCGAACCAGAGGAAAACAAATTGATTTTAGAGAATTTGCTGGCATGAATTGCTTTGTGTCTAACATTGAGCCAAAGAACATTGAAGAAGCGCTGAAAGATGAATACTGGATCAGTGCCATGCAAGATGAGTTGAATCAGTTTGAAAGGAACAAAGTTTGGACGTTGGTAGAACGACCAGATGACATCAATGTGATTGGAACAAAGTGGATATTCAAGAACAAATCTGATGAGAAAGGGAATATCACAAGGAACAAAGCTCGGCTAGTTGCACAGGGATACACTCAGATTGAAGGAGTTGATTATGATGAAACGTTTGCCCCCGTTGCAAGAATTGAAGCCGTAAGATTATTACTCTCAATCTCATGCTCACTTGAATTTTCTCTATTTCAAATGGATGTCAAAACTGCATTTTTGAATGGCTGGATCAAAGAAGAAATATATGTGGAGCAGCCTAAAGGATTTGAAGATCCATTCTATCCGAATCATGTCTACTGATTGAGGAAAGCTTTGTATGGATTGAAGCAAGCACCCCGTGCTTGGTATGATCGATTGTCTACCTTTTTGATTGGAAAGGAATATACCAGAGGATCCACAGATAAAACGTTATTCATCAAACATAAAGGTACTGATGTTATGATTGCTCAAGTTTATGTCGATGATATTGTCTTTGGATCAACGGCAAAGAAGTTGAAGGATGAATTTGTAGAGTTCATGCATTCAGAATTCGAGATGAGTATGATTGGAGAGCTGACATATTTCCTTGGATTACAAATTAAGCAATGTCCTGATGGGATATTTCTGAACCAAACAAAGTATGCAAAGAATATGGTTGAGAAGTTTGGTATGAAGAGTTCTAAGACTGTTAGAACACCGTTGGGACAACAGGACAAGCTGTCTAAAGATGCTGAAGGAAAGGATGTCGATCAGAAGTTGTATAGGAGCATTATCGGAAGTCTGTTGTATCTTACAGCTAGTAGACCCGATATCACATTTTGTGTTGGTGTTTGTGCTCGATTCCAATCAGCCCCGAAAGAATCTCACTTGAAAGCCGCAAAGAGAATTTTGAGGTATATTAATGGAACATCCGAACTTGGATTATGGTATTCAAAGAGATCATCACTTGATCTAATTGGATTTACTGATTCCGATTGGGCCGGATGCTGTGATGACCGGAAGAGTACGACGGGAGGATGTTTTTACATTGGTGAAAATTTGATCAGTTGGAGTTCCAAGAAGCAAAGTTCGATTGCTTTGTCTACTGCTGAGGCGGAGTATGTAGCCGCTGGAAGTTGCTGTGCGCAATTGTTATGGATCAAGCAAATGTTGAAGGATTATGGAATTGAGAAGGAGTCGTTTGTACTGTGGTGTGACAATACTAGTGCAATCAGCATATCAAAGAATCCAGTTCAACATGGTCGAACGAAGCACATAGAAATCCGATATCATTTTATCCGAACGCTTATGGAAGCTGAAGTGTGCAAATTGCAACACATTGGAACTAATTTTCAAAAGGCAGACATCTTCACCAAAGCATTGGATTCAGAGAGGTTTGAGAAATTAAGAAGAGAATTAGGTATGTGTTCATACCTTAACTAGTACGGATTATTGAAGGAATTAAGTCCAATATTCATGGGATTTTATCTGGATATATTTTGGAATATTGGGTAAATATAAGGAAAGGAGAAATACGTGGCGGAATATTATTGGAAGGGAAATTCATAGCCTTTTTAGGGTTGCAGAGTCTGCAGCCTTGGACAGTGTTCCGACGTCAAAACGTCGCTCTGACATCCCACGCGCCTGGATTGATGGGAATTAATGGAGGTTGCGTGTGAAGGTTTTTTGATTCCCCTGTATCTATATCTTCGGATCAGAGTGCACATACATCACTAATTCTTTCTCTCCAAACCCCAATTTCAACTTGTGAAGGAGTTTTTCTCTCAAAATCTCCAACCATGGTGAAAACACGTTCCGGTGGAGTTGCCAAGGATGTTAAGCATAAATCTATTTCAAAGAGGAAAGTTGGAACTACAAAGAAAGGGAAAAAGTTGCCTGAATGTTTTTCCCCTGTTCTTGAAACCGTTCATGAACATGTGATGGAAAAACCTGATCGTGAAGTTGAGATTCCAGCAACTGATGTAGCCCATAATGAGGGAACCGCTGTCTCAACTGCTGAAGATCATTCTCTTTCTGAAGGACATGAAGGTCATGTAGCGAAACATGCTGTTGTGCATGAAATTGATCTAAATGAAGTCGCACCCATGGAAACTGCAAATGAAGATGAAGTCGTTGTTGAAATGGCTGGCACACAAGAAGAAAATACTGAGGAGAACCCTGTTGATGTTCAAGAAGTTGAAACTGTTACTGGTGGTGATGCAGAGGATGCTACAATCACAAAAGAGGTTCCTGCTGTCGATGAACCTGGAAGTGAGGCTGTGCTTGAAGAGGTACCTGATGAAGACATTGAAGGAGTTGGAACAGAAGTACCCCAACCCGTGGATATGAATTTTGAAGCTACAGAGGTAGAACAAGTCATTCCTGAAAATGTGATTGAGGAAGGAGAAGCTCTTCCTATGGAACACCCCGATATCGATGAAGAAGAAGAAGATGAGTTGGACTCTCTTCGTCTGTCCTCTGCTTTGGACAGACTCCGGAAAAGAAAACATGGCAGTTCATCTTGCAATGCCCCTGCCCCTGCTAAAAAGACTTTCAAAAGGACTAAGGCAAAGAGTCGAAAGTCTAAAGGAGTTTCTGATCCTCCTACTGTTCGTGAAGATAAAGCGTTGAATGAGGCATATTATTATGCTTCTGGGCGTCGCTATGCTCAGGATATTCTTGTTGGAAGGACTGTGATTTCAGAAGCTCAGTTTATTCGGAGAGCGTATACCGACGTAGGATTCCGTGCGTTCCTTGAGGAAAAACATTTGTTGTTTTGGGCGACCGGATTGGAGTGTTACTGTCCTCGCCTTGTCAAGGAGTTTTATGCCAACTTGAGTGGGAAGGTACTCGATCCGAACTCTCTATGGTATCATAAGATATATACTCGTGGCAAAATTTTGGAACTTAGCCCTGCAGTGATCAATGAGTTGTTACAACTGCCGGCGAATGATGAAAATAAGCTGCCATCTAAGCTGATTGATGAATCAACAAAGGAGGTTGCCAGAGCCATATCTGCTGGAAATGCTTCGTCATTTGGACGTTCTGGAGTGACTGGAACAATGCTGACAATGAAATATCAGTGTCTCTTTAGACTTTGTGGATGCAATATCTTACCAACCGCCAACAATACAAGTATCAGCACTGATATGGGTACTCTCATCTTCTCTATTGATAAACATTTTGAGCTAATTAATTTTGGCTATTTGGTAATCAAGAAGATGATTGACTTTTGTTCGGATTCAAAAGTGGAATGGACACGATTGCCCTATCCCGGTTTAATTTGTTTGTTCTTGAGTTCCAAGGGAATTCATCCAGAACCGGATGAGGAGGTGTTTCCCATTCGATCATTTATTGCCCAGTCCAACCTCAAAAAGCTTCACAATGACTTTCTTCTCGGTGCCCCATTGGATGCCGATGCTCGCATAGAGAAGTGTAGGGCGCTACTGACTGAAGTCATGAGGGAACAATCTGCTCTGTCTGCTGCTCTCATTGCTCAGAATAGAAAAGTGGCACAGGCCATGAGGCTGATGCCTCGCAAACCTGGAAGCGTCGATGATGAGGACGTTGATGCAGATAATGATGGAGATGGTAATGGTACGGAGGAAGCCGACCCTTGACCACCTCTTTTTGGCCTCTGCTGCAATGCAAGGGGGAGAATGCAGCAAGCCAGGGGGAGTGTGTGCTGTTGAGGAGGAATTTGGTATTACTATCTATTGTTTTCTGCCTGTTTTTTGTTGTTAACACATTTGGATGTTAAAGCCGCTTGTGGCTTGTTGGAATTGATGGTCTGTAATAACTCTTAACCGGATTGTGATTGTGACTGTGGATGTGTGAATGGTGTGTGTGTTTGCTGCTTGTTATGCCTTGCTGCATATGCCAAAAAGGGGGAGATTGTTGGCATATTCAAAATTGCCAAACCCTTTTGTTTCTACTTTTGGCATATGAGCAAGTTGCAGGATGTTGTTGCAGGTTCTGTTTGACACCATTTCGGGAAACCTGCCAACTGCAGAGTTGACCGAGTTACAGCTTTTGGATGCATCTTGTGTGTTCTACACTCAATGGAATAGGACAAATGAATATGCATTGGACAGAGGACGTGCAGGAGAAGCTGCATGTATTGTCCTCTCATACTGGATGACATTAAATGACCTTGAACACACTGCCCAAAAAGTTGTCACAGTCAACTTTTGTCTTTTGTGTAATGTGTATATATTTCATATGGATGTTTGTTTGTATTCGTGGGTGAGCAACCAGAACTTAGAGAAGTATTCTCTCCACCTGTTAGAGTGTTAGAGAGCTCATCCATGGAGGATTGAAGACGAGAAGAAGGATTCTTGGAGTCGAAGCCGAAGAAGATATTCATCCGGTAAACAACCTTATTCTTAGCTTGGTCGCTGGCCTGCTGGAGTTGTTGCGGTAGAGTAACAGCCAGTCCATGAGAGTTTGTAAAACTAAATGGAGCTTGGGTAGAAGATAGGTTGGGTAGTTCGGTTTGGTGTCTTATATGGTGTAAACCAAGTGTTTGGTTTAGTTAAGACTCCTGGATTGGAATCCCCCAGACGTAGGTTGGAAAACCGAACTGGGTAAACAAACTTGGTGTGTTGTTTTTCTTTTTGCACATATTCAGCCATCGATTCGTGCATGAACACACACCTCTGTTATAACCGCGAGACAACTACGTTGTAAAGCTGTGTTTACGTCGAACGTTTCACAGTTCCGCTGTGCAAGGTACTCGGAGGCGTTGGACCTCTTTCGCGCCCCTCTCCGCGACTTCCAACAATAATAAAAAGAAAAAAAAGGCGCTGTTGACCGTGCCTTGTTATACATTATTTCTTAAGAGAAAAATTTATTCAGATGCGATGGTAGTGTTTTAATTCATTAAAAAATATTACTAATTGTAGACCCTTGTTTGCATCATCATCTCGAATCCCATGCTCTATTCACTCTCTGATGCTCAACTGCAGCGTCGTCACCGGATTTTGATCTGGCAAAGAGTGCGTTATGTGGGAAATCCGTTGGGCTGGTGGTCTGAAATCTAAAAGGGATTGTTGATGTGCGAAGTTCAGAGATTTCCGTCCAGGCAGTTGACGATAGGCAATAGGGTTGAGTTCGTCTTCTATTAATTAATGATTCATTTCTGTTTGGTGTGACTTTCAATTTTAGATTTTCAATTCTCAATTTTCCTGTGATCTGTTTGTGATCCTCTGTGTTATGATAGCATGAAGCAACAATTCTGAGGGTCTAGTATGTATATTGTGTATTGAAAACCTAATTCAGCTATCTTTGTATTCCAGAGACAAATTTATTAGCTACATTGCAATTTGGCCAAGATGACGAATGGTGTTCTTCATTCTATTCGTGTTTAATAACGAAGGTGAATGCAGATTTAAGCAGCGATGTAATTTTATGTCCGCTGCACTAATTACTTAATCTTAGTTTGTTTATCGATATATATATTTTGGAATATTGTAATAATTTTTCATACGATTGCATGCCAGTATGATAAAGAGAATGTTGAACTCAAATTTCAGGAACTAGAGCAAGAAATTTCTGATACAGACATCAGACAAATCATTATGTTCAGTTATGAACAACATTGATCTCTTAGCTTGCAAAGCAGAGTACTACCATCAGTTTGGTGAATACCAAAAATGTTTCGAATTGACTTCAATGTAAGTTTGTAGCTATCTTGAAGGAAATTTAGTGTTTTAGTTTCACCATTACTAATGAACTTTTTTATTTCATTTTTAATCCAGATTGCTTGAGAAGGATCCATTTCATCTAAAGGCTACCTTGGTGCATCTAATTTAGTTAAAGACTATCCTCAAAGGTGAGAATGCATGTACATTTTTATACAATCAATTTACCTTAGTTATTGACATGAATACGAACATCGAAAATCCAATCATACACATCAGAATTATCTAGATTGTTGAAAAGAACATGGCAGATGAAAAAATATATGTAAATTTGTTCATCTAATAGCATAAATGTGACAATTTATCACAACAATATATATGCATTCCTTTTAGATTTCCTGACTCGTCTTAATATATTTTGAATTTTGAGTAGTAGACAGCTATGTTAAGTGATCTTTGAAAACTTTGATGAATTTCACTTTCCAATTGCAAAATCAAGTAAATTTTCAGGTAAAAAGATCAAAGAGGAATGCTACATAGAATTTAACTCTGCTCCACCATGTATGTTTTGGAACAGGTAAAAGTAATGCTTTTGTTGATATATATCCATAACATTAATGTTTAATCAACTGATCAATTCTTTATGGGTACTACTACCCGAAAAAGGGACATTTTTCGTGGATAAAAGAGGCACGGCATGGTGCAGGAACACACAGTAACGAAAATACGCACCAATGAATTGCCATGAATCAGTAATATACATCTTGGCACCATTGAAATATGCCACTATCTATGGATGTTCTAATGCTACTATTGTGCTTGGGGCTGTTAGCAAGGTAGACAGGAAATTAGAGTTACCAATGTGATTCCATATGTGATTTATGATTCTTTCAGTTTGTCTTGATAGCATTGCTACTGTTGAGGTGTTATGAGCGGTCTTGGCTCACTCGGTTTTATGCTTTATGGGAATATTATTATGGGATTGCTTTGTACTTGGAGTATATTATTAAAAGCATTCTGTTAATTCATTTATTGATCTCTTCAATATCTTATTAATTTTTATTAGTGTTTTTTTGTTGCAAAGGGACCCTTGTGCATTAATAAATGTGTTATGCAGGCTGTTACAGTTGAACATTGTCAACGTGTTCACCTGATCATTGCAACGGTTCATCAGGTTGAGCCTTGTTCCATGTTCTGGATACCAAGGATCAACCTCCAACATACTTTCATACCAACAAATTCACTTCTGCTTTTCAAGAAATTGTTGATGCATATGGGTGAGCAGAAGTAACAATTTATCTTTAATAGAGACTGCAAATAATTTGATCTATAAAATATTGTGTTTCTGTTTAAGAAGCTTATACTAGATCTATTTGGTCATCCATAACTCATGTTGGTCAAATTTTATAGAAAAAAATTAAATCCCAAGTGGGGATGAAATAATGCAATGAATATGGATGAGGATGCCTCGAATGTTTTAAAGGACAAATATAGTTTATCCTTGGAAACCTTACAAGAAGGATACAAATAGGACTGCTACATGTCTCAAAGTGATTGCTTGGGTAATAGTGAACTTTTGTAGAGGAACTATGTATTGAACACAGAAATCATGTTTGGTAGGTATTATGCTATGATTCAGTAAACAGGCATGTGTGAATATTGTAAAGTATTTGTTACATTCCCGATATCCGCGTACACTGAGTTGTCTAGGCTATAATTAGTTTCACTTGTGGTTTCCTCAAAATTTTTTAATACATGCTTATTTGATTTGTATATTTACATGAGGTTGAATAAACATCTTGAAAATTCACACCAGAGTACTGAAATTATATTAATCCAATCAAAGTATTGCTTCCTTTGCCTTCTGAATTCACCATGACTTCACTTCACCTATATTTTGATTGATTTTCGAGATGATAATATAGATTCCCGGTTTTATAAGTGTTTTTGAATGAATTTAGTAATGCAGGAACAAAATTGGTTATACTTTTCAATATTTTCTTCTGAAAAATATGATTCCTTAAGAACTTGTTCATGATGGGCTTCATGATGTAGATGGCTGGAAGCACTTCATAGTTTTGGCTCTGTTTCAACCGATTAATGCACTTCGAGGAGTCGGAAAAGGTAAGTTTTAAATTTTTAATCTACAATTTATACTTGACTACAGCTGTTTCATCTAAAATATTAGCGCCTATCATTACATTGTTTTTGCAGTTTTCGAGCCATGCAAGGACAATAAAGTGGATCTTCTTGCACCGAAGCTGGTGTTTCATTGAATATGTTTGGCATTGAAAATATGGAAGGTTTGCTCTCTATTCGCTACAGAAGCCTCGAGTATTGAAAATAAATTGATGAATTTTGTAAATCTTTGTAGCAAAGGCTTGTGCTTTTGTTAAATTAATATAAAATTTTAACCGTTGTTTGCAATTTGTTTGTTGGCGTATACTAAAATTGGTGTATGTTGTTGTGGTTAATATGCAACTTTGAGCTGTATAATAAGATCTAAATTTTGTCAAAACAAAATATTATACTATATATATTATGGTGTGGCACTAATTTTTATTTTTTATTTATTTATTTTGGTGCCGATGTTGGCGCCAATGTTAATATTTATTTATTTTCTTGGTGCTGATTTCGGTGCCAATTTTTATATTATATTTATTTTTTTGGCGTTGATTTCGGTGCCAATATTCTCTTTATTACATTTTTTCTTGGCACTAATGTCTGTGCCTTCAATTAAAAAATAAAAAATAAAATTGTGTTTTACGATGCCAATTTCAGCGCCTAAATTTTCTTTCGCCGAAAGTAGTGCCAACATGTTTTTATTTTGGACCGGACAACCGCTTCTAAGAAAATAGGCACCATGATTATGCAACGGAAGGAACCCGTAACTCATTCCGCGCCATTTAACTATAATTGGTACGGTTTTGGCACGGTTTCTTCGGCGCCAATCCAATCATTTCCTAGTAGTGTTTAGTCTTGGAATGATTTTTTTGTTCAAAAAAAAGAATTTAAAAATGCAGTTCAGAATCACGCTATCAAGACAATGAGAAGTTTGAATTTTTTCAAAAATGATAAAAGAAGAGTTTTTGTCTGATACGCTGGTAGCCTCGGTGCTTCCAATAAAAATACTCAACACCACAATTGTTGCGTAGGAAGTGGTGTCGAGGTCGATCCACAAGGACTGTGAAGTTTAATTCCTATTTCGTCACCATTTCAAATATTGGAGGATAGATTAGCAATTCACTAAAATAATTAAAATAAGCGATACAATTTAGGTTTCAAAAAGATTAAACTTCTAGCTCAAGGAATGAACAAGAAACCAGATTAAAGATTCAATCATCCATTTTAAATAATCTTGTTATTCAATTGATAAATTGGTTATAGGCATTAGATATGATCATAACGCCCAATTTTTCCTTACTTTATTGGCGACAATGGTACGACCGATTAACCGCATTCCTAATCAAAGAAATAATCTAAGTACGACCATAAATTAATTTCCTCAATTGAAAATAGCCCGAGAAAAACTCAATTCAAATATTCAATCAATTACGAAAAGATTAAATTATTTGATCATGCAATTCCTAGGCTAAGCTTGTCAACCTATTTACCACTTTATCAAACAAGTGCACAATTACGGATGCTAATGTTCAATTGGCACACAATTGCTAAACCAATCTAAAGTCCGACTGCAATAAAAGATTAAATAAAACAATTGTAGTTATGAATAACATAAATTGCACAAATACCAATTTCATAAACAAGATGCAATTTAAATCAAAACCTAATCTCACAAATCCAAATCCGAAATCTAAATTCAAGCTTGAACTAGAATAAGAATTTAGCTACTCATACTTATAAAAATGAGTATGAATCTATCCAAAAAACATTGATTAAATCTTATAATTTATCTCTAGAAAATATATAACAATATATATTTATCAATTTCCCCACACCCAAACCATGCTTGCCCTCAAGCATAAACCAAATAAGCACACGAAAGAACTTGATGCAATCATAATCTCCACAAACAAATTCATATTATCATTACCTCAATGAAAGTCAAAACATACAAGTGCAACATAACCTCACTAGGAATAAAGTGTATACACTCAACACTCAAATATATATGGATTAACAAGTCACTCGTGTCGTGTCATGTCGTGGAGTGGAGTATAATTTAGAAGTTGAAGTTGATTTTTGTAAGATTATCTATTTGGAGTACAATAACAGCAGAAATGTTATGGAGTGGGTATTATTATTAGCGTATTTCAAAACATTAATTAGGATGGAAAATTTCTCTTATTTATTAAGTTGTTGTCTCGGTTACATCCGTTGGCTGATCTACTGATTAGGAGTTTCCCCTAAACTAAACTAGAAAGATGTTTAATTGGATGAGGTGGAGATGTGAGACTACTTAATATTAAATAGAGACTGCTTCTCATAACGAAGAAGTATTGGTAGGAGGGAGAGCAAGAGAACTTCCAAAAGTCCTACTAATCTTTGAACGAGTTACATATATATATATATATATACTAGAATTTGTTTGGTTTCCATTTGAAGTTATTTATTTATTTATTTTAACTTAAATAATATTTTAATATGATTATTTGGGACACAAAAATATTATATTAAAATACATTATAATCAAAATTCAAATTTAATCTTATTTTCAAATCAATTTCAAGTAAAAGTCAAAACAAAATAATATAAAAAAAATAAAACGAAACAAAAAAGTTAAAAAGGCAGCTGCATAACTGTTCATGTGTTATATAATAATAATATAATATATAAATATATATATATCTGGATGAGTGTATGATATTATATATATATATATATCTATATATATATGTACAGATGCAATGATGATAAATGAAATGAGATTGATGCATAGACTCAATAAAATTGAGAATCTTATGAGGAAAGTAATTATCTTACAAAATGATTCTACAAGCCTCTATTTATAGGAAAGTAAAAAATTAAAATAAGGCTACAAAGCATCCGCGTATGTTTTTGGTGTACACTATGTGTATGTAACATTTCCCCTTATACTTTTATACAAAAAATATGTCTCGTTAAAATCTTATTAGGAAAAAACTATGTGGAAAAAATCTTAATGAAGAAAAAAGAGCACAATATTTTTGTATTTATACGCTCCCTGTTTTGGACTTTATTTGATGTTTTTCATCCGACGCATTACAATTCATTGTACAAATTTGTTGAATGTTGCATTCGGTAGCGGCTTCGTAAATAGATCTGCAAAATTTTCAGACGATCGAATTTGTTGCACATCAATTTCACTATTATTCTGAAGATCGTGAGTGAAAAAGAACTTTTGGGATATGTGCTTTGGCTGATCGCCTTTAATATATCCTCCATTTAATTGAGTTATAGAAGCTGCATTATCTTCAAATAATATTGTAGGAGGTAATACATCATCAAAAATCAAGCCACAATGTCTCTGTCATAGAACTCAACCAAACGCATTCACGACTGGCTTTGGAGAAATTGGATACAAATGAGAAGTCTGCCGTGAATACAATTTTCGATCATATGACAATATCCTAATTATGCTGAAAAAATTCAAAATCTTGGCATGCTTTTATTTTTTTTCTTTTTTTGCATAATTATTCAATATATAGTATATGCTTTTGTATTATGAATACATTGCTAGAATGCGATGGCATCCGGTGTCCGTTGTAGCTATTTGTAATTTCTTATCTTGTTTACTTCATCAATTTAAATGTTTCGGGAGGACTTTACGTGCTTCATCAATTTTTATTATCTCTTATCTTCTTGTACATGTTACTGTGGATTGGAGTTTACATTGTTATAATTTCTCATGATTGAAACACTAGAGAAATAGTTAATGCTTCTTTTTCGCCTAAACATTTTCAATTTGGCTATCGATCTCTTTTGTTTCCTTAGAAGAATTTTAACTTCTCAGTTTCTCTTGTCCCTAGATGTACAATTCAAATTATAAATTTATATGATATCAATTCAGAACATCATCTTCTCCTAAGTAAGATTCATTGGTTGTGTTAAACCCTTTGAACTTTTTTTTTCAGTTAGTTTTGGATCTGCTCAGCTACTCAACTGTCATGCCTTATAGTAATCTTTTTTAGTTGGTGACCTACGTATGTGGGTCACAATTAGTTTTGTTTGATATAAATGTGCTATTGCTTCTAAGGGGAAAAGAATGTATTGTAATTTCTATATCAGTAGCATTGTCCTCTTAGGTTTGTAATTTGTATAATCTTTGTTTAAACAGACTTTAGCACCCTTTGTTTCTTAAGAAGGTATGCCAAACACCGTCTGTTGTTTCTTTGATCACATTTTCGATGGATCAAGTGTTATATTCTCTTTACTCATTGATTTTTAAACTTCATCACAAAATTAAGTAGACTTGTGCTTGTTCATAGTACTAGGACCTCTTTGTTTTACATTATTGGTGTTCTTCTGTTCACTATATTTCTGTTTTTATTTCCCCAGTTGATATTTCCTGTAGGAATGAAACCTCAAATTCACCAAGAAGATTTTTTTAGAAAAATAAAAATAAAAATGCAAGAAGAAGTTGTTTCTAATGAGTGCTAGCACGCATGTCTATAAGAAGACCTTTCTTTCTTGTGCATTTTTTTCATTGTTCACCTTTATGAAAAGGTGTAGTGTTCATCTTAATGTATATATCTCATAAACATGTCAGGTAATTGATGCCCATTGTGTCAAACAATTTTGTTTATTATGCAAACCTAAAACAACTTTCGTTAAATGAAATTGTAGTACTTCCTACCGTTAATAGTTTTTATTTGTTTGAAATTCTGCATCCTCATTTCCATGATGAACTTAAAAAAATTTCTGCGGGTATGCTTTGTACCACCATGCACTAGGGGGAAAAGGAATAGAAAGACGGTTGTTGATAGTGCTACCAACTCTACCTACCCCCGAGTCATTTGACTAGAGTACTGATTGTCCGGATTGAAGGGACGGATGCTCGTTAAAGTACGAATAATCCCCTTGTGTGAATCTAGTAGGAAACAATAACAATAGAATAATCACACCGAAAACGTAATGCAACCAATCAACAAGGACACGAGCAATTTTACGTGGAAAACCTTCTCGATGTGAGGAGTAAAAGCCACGGGACCGAAGTCCACAAAATCTCTACTATAATCAAAAGGGGGTACAAATCGTTCAACACAAAAATAAACCCAAGTTCCAACTCACAAGATATAACACCAATCTTGTCAACGAATATATGAGTGAAATAGAAAACTCATAAACAGTACCTTTCTGTTCAGACTCAAATACTCGATGATCCAAACGTCTGATCATGATCTCCACCGTTCATAATTTACTCCATGATGTCCCCAATAACATACTCAAATTCCAGTCTGATCCAATGGTTAGATCTTCCGATTCAATATCAACACCGAAACTGGTCCGAAAGAATCCGGGAGG